AATCCCTGGAGAGGCTGGATGCCTTCAAGTCAGCTGGTCCTGACAGATTGCACCCTAGGGTACTTAAGGAGCTGGCAGGCATTATAGCCCAGCCACTGGCAAGGATCTTCAAGAACTCGTGGCACTCAGGTGAAGTACCCGAAGATTGGAAGAAGACCAATGTGGTGCCTATCTTCAAGAAAGGGAGGAAAGTAGATCAAGGGAATTACAGGCCAATCCATTTGACCTTAATCCCTGGAAAGATTTTGGAAAAAATTATCAGAGACCATTCTTGACAAATGGGCTGATAGCAACATCCTCAGGGACAGCCAGCATGGGTTTGTTGTGGGGAAGTCTTGCCTGACCAATCTCCTCCCCTTCTATGACCAGGTGACGTATCACATGGGCAAGGGAGAAGAGACTTACGTCATGTATCTGGACTTTAAAAAAGCCTTTGATCTAGTGTCCCATGACCTCCTTATGGAAAACCTGGCCAACCGTGGCCTTGGCTACACCACAGTCCGATGGCTGGGAAATTGGCTCCGAGGTCAGACCCAGAGAGTAGTGGTTGATGGTAATGAATCATTATGGCACTTTGTGACCAGTGCTGTTCCCCCAAGGCTCTGTCTTTGGACCGGTTCTCTTTAACATCTTTATAAACAATGTGGACATTGGTGTCAGAATCACACTGGTCAAGTTTGCCGATGACACTAAACTTTGGGGCATAGCGTCCACACCTGAGGACAGGATAGTGATCCAGGCTGACTTGGATAAACTTAGTAAGTGGGTGGATAGAAACTGGATGACATTCAATACCAATAAACGTAAGATACTCCACCTCGGTGGAAAAAACCCCACAGCATACTTATAGGCTCGGTAGTGCTATGCTCGCTAGCACCACTGCTGAAAGAGACTTGGGGGGCATGATTGACCACAAGATGAACATGAGCCACCAATGCGATGTCGCAGCTGGTAAAGCAAACAAAACCCTGGCTTGCATCCATAGATGCTTCTCAAGTAAATCTCAGGATGTCATCCTCCCACTGTACTCGGCCTTAGTGAGGCCGCAGCTGGAGTACTGCATCCAGTTCTGGGCTCCACAATTCAAGAAGGATGTGGAGAAGCTTGAGAGAGTCCAGAGGCGAGCCACACACATGATCAATGGGACTCTTCAGCCTGGAAAAGTGCAGGCTCAGGCGGGACCTGGTGGCTGCCTATAAGTACACAAGGGGTGTTCATCAGGATGTGGGAGAATGTCTGCTCACCAGAGCGCCTCAAGGGAAAACAAGGACCGATGGTCATAAACTCCTACAAGACTGTTTTAGTCTGAACATAAGAAAACATTTCTTTACTGTCTGAGCCCCCAAGACCTGGAATAGGCACCCTCCAGAAGTGGTGCAGGCACCTATTCTGGACTCTTTCAAGAAATGCTTGGATGCCAGGCCAGAACTGCTCCCTGCCTGCTCAACGTGCTGTGGAGGGGCTGGCTAGGGCACACGGGGCATTCAGTGCAGGGCTAGCCAGCAGGCAGCATTTACAAGTACTTTTAGGATAGTATTTACAATTATTGTCCTGCTGCAGAATAAATTAGTTTACTCCAGCCTAAAAGGGAAGGACATGTAGATGCACAATCTTTACTGCACAGCTAATTAATCAATTGAGCAGTAAATGTGTAGACATGCCCAGTGAAAAGAAATGGTGCCATAGTAATAAAAAAAAGTTATGAGCATAGCTCAGAATCATAGACATTAAAAAAAACCCTGGAAAAGCCAGCATCATTTCAATAGCAAACCCATGAGGGTCATTGCAGAATAAAATACCTATCTATCATCCTATTCCATTCTGTTAGATATTCAGATATTGGTCTCCAGGTATTGTCTACAATTTCTGTTGGGAGATGGTTTTCAGCGGAGGGGGCTGGGCGGGTGGGGACCCGTTTAATAACTTCAGAGTTTTCTTTCCTTCCCCACAAAGCAAAAGACACAGGTTTTAGAACACCCCTTATGCAGAGGATGTGAACCTGGGCCTTTACAACTTCCTAGAGCAGTGTCCCAGGCATCAGCCCACATGTGTTGCTGTTCAGTGTACAGCTGCAGCCTCAATGTAATTTAAAAAAAGGGAATGCTTCCACCAACGTTACTGGGCATGCTGTTCCATTGGAAAAAAGAAACTGATAAATAGGAATGCCCCTGAGACACGAGGACTTCTCTGACTAGTATAGGTCAGGGCTGTGCCTAAAGCAGCATGCAAGCCATTGCTGTTAGTGTCACCACCTGGGGATTGAATGACCCAGCCCAAGAGGAAGCAGAAGAGGATTGGGGCAGAAGCCTGTTGCTCCTTTTTATCCTTGGCTGCACCTGACTGGGAGGGAACTATGCAAAGTGGCTGCATAAGCACTCAGGGTAAAAGCCAGCCTCCTCTCCTAGGCACAACAGGCACGTTGAATGGACAAAACCTGCACATTACTGTCTGGCTTGGTAGCAAAGGATAAAAAAAAATGAGGTGTTTCTTAACCTGCCTTTGCTTCATGGCAGTGTGCCTAGGTAAATGGGTGATGTGGGGAAAATATAGGATACTAGAGCAGTGAGGAAATGTCTGAAGTAACAGAAATGAATTTGTCTTCTCCACAGGGGTGCAGTCGGCAGTGGAGCTGGTCCAGTCTGGTGCCGTGGTGAAGAAGCCTGGGGAGACTGTGAAGATCTCCTGTAAAACCTCCGGGTTCACACTCACTGATTACTACATGGGCTGGGTGCAGCAGGCTCCAGGGAAAGGCCTGGTGTGGGTTGGACGTATTGACCCTGAAGATGGTAGTACCAGCTATGCAGAAACACTGAAAGGCAGAGTGTCCATCACCACCGACAACTCCATCAGCACCGTGTACCTGCAACTCAGCCGCCTGTCGCCTGCAGACACTGCCGTGTATTACTGTGCTAGACACACAGTGGGCAGGATGCCATTCACAGCCGTGCAAGAACCCTTGGTCTGCAGCCAGCGCTGTCACAGCTGTGCTTCTGCTTCAGCCCTGCCAGAGCATTTCTGCAGGAGGGCCGCCGAGGGGCAGTGCGGGATTGTGTGTCCTTCTCTGCTCCTCCCAATCTGGCAATATATTCCCAGCCCCTCTCCTCCTCTGTCTTGCATGTCTCTGGTGTGAGGCTTTTACAGCAATACTACTGAGACCTAGCAAAGCCCAGAATACAGTCAGAGGTTTCAGTGTACCTGCACAGAAAGTGTGTAACCTCTTGCTTATGCTCAACAGCTATGTCTACACCATGGAAGGGGTTTATACAAGTGAAAAACTGAAAGGGCCACAAATGACACTGATTTTGGAGAAATCGGACTTGATTCCAAAACGTAAATGGCAATTGGTTTCTGCCAGTATGCCCCGAGGTCTCTGATCGAAGATGGACAGCTAAGCAGTCAAGAGTCTTTGGCCTGGAAATTAATCACAGAGGGACGGGTGCTTTGCGGTCTCACCGCCTGGAAGGCAGTCCCCTGGCTCTGGGCCCTGTCCACAGAGTTGTCTGCACGTTTCATCCATTCCTGCCTTGAAAGGAAGTGGAATTTGTCTGCTTGCTCTCGTGCTCCCCATCTGTGCGCGTGTCACAATAGGGAGTGGAAAATATGTCAGCTGAACCCCTCTGGCCCCAGACTTCATACATCCAGGAGACACAATACATGCTGCAGTTTGAAGTCCTCGGGGATTTGGGAGGGTTCCCCTCTAGCCTCCTGCCTGCTGTGACTCTTGGAGTTCAGGCTGCTTGGGTTGGGGTGCTTTCAGTGACCAGCCTCCCGGCTCAAATACACGTTTGTGGTCAAAGCTCTGAAAGATTTATCATCTGTCAGAGCAGTAGCTATGGGTCTGTGCAGCAGTCCGCTCGGCTCAGCGAAACTTTCTAGATAGTGGTAAATGACACACTATATTCCTGGGCACCCCCGAAGTCACTACAACAAGGTATCTCTCACAGTCCTAATATTTATAGCCAAGATGCCCCCACTCCATGCCAACTCTTCTCTCACTCTGTAGCGATGGCCCTTTTTACTTGTCTCTTTGCTGAGTCCAAACACCTGCAGCTTGCAGCTCATTCCTTGCCACGTGCAGCTCCCCACTTCCAAGATCGAGCATCTAGAGCTCACGCCCGGCTTAGTTAGGGCTTCCCTAGCTCATTCCCTGATGAATTTGAGTCTCTTCATCTAAGTGCAGCTCACACCTGCTGAGTTCAGCTCAATTCTTGTTATCACGTCTTTACTAGCAAGTTCTCACCTTTTACTCCTTAACTTGTTTAACTGCAGTTTTTGACTCCGAATTCATGTTTGTGCTCACTGTATCGTTTAGCAGTCTGCCAACAGTCCGTAATGCTGTTTTCTCTCAAATCCCTTTGCACTGTCTTAGCTTAACCACGGTATAGCATAATTAAGGCCTAGCATAACTGGAACTCCTACACGTACCAAATGAGGGAGGGGCTTGGGCCTGTCTGCGGAGAAGGAAGTGGGGACAAAGCAGGGCTTACACCTTCTCACCCAGAAGCTGGCGGCGAAGGCGACCTGGGGAGAGTGAACACGTGGCTCTGCCCAGTACACCTCTCTCTACAGAGCTGGCTGGTCTTGACCAGACTCCCCCAACCCCTACAACGCCCCTGCTCTCTCTGGGTCGGCTCCTAGAAATCCCAGCATTCACCCTCCCCAGGACGGAGGAGAAATCCTGAGTGGGGCAACTCTCTCTCTGACACACGCTGGGTGAAGCCCAATTTTCTCTTTATTCACCATAGTCACACATACACAGCCATCAGACTGCAGTGCTGGCCCCTGTCTTCAGTTCAGCATTTGGCCCGTTGGCTTGTCAGTCCTCATGCACAGGTGATTACACATCGGAGGCAGTGGACACTCCTGTTCTTGAGTTCTTTTCTCAATAGTTTGTTTTTCATGTATATCATGTGGCCTCGTGTATGTCTGTGTCAAGGTGGCCTGTGAACTGTTGCCTTTCGTGTCACGAGCTGGGGGTGAATGGCCCAGGCCAAGAGGAAGCAGAAGAGGATTGGGGCAGAAGCCTGTTGTTTCTTTTTATCCCTGGCTGCGCCTGACTGCGCAGGCAACTATGCAAAGTGGCTTGGTGAACGCTCAAGCTAAAAGCCAGCGTCCTGCCCTAGCCAGAGCAGGTGTCTTGAATGGGCAACAGCAGTCCCTTACTCTCTGGTGTCACAGCAGAGGACAGCAAAGATGAGGTGCTTCTTAACCTGCCTCTGCTTGCTGACAGTGTGTCTAGGTAAATGGGTGACATTTGGGAATAGTGGGATACAAATCAGTGAGAAGTGTGCCGTGTCAGCAATGATTGTGTCTTGTCCACAGGGGTGCAGTCGGCAGTGGAGCTGGTCCAGTCTGGCGCCGTGGTGAAGAAGCCTGGGGAGACTGTGAAGATCTCCTGTAAAACCTCCGGGTTCACATTCACTGATTCCTACATGGACTGGGTGCAGCAGGCTCCAGGGAAAGGCCTGGTGTGGGTTGGAGATATTGACCCTGAAGATGGTAGTACCAATTATGCAGAAACACTGAAAGGCAGAGTCTCCATCACCACCGACAACTCCATCAGCACCGTGTACCTGCAACTCAGCCGCCTGTCGCCTGCAGACACTGCCATGTATTACTGTGCTCGACACACAGTGGGCAGGATGCCATTCACAGCCGTGCAAGAACTCTTGGTGTGCAGCCAGCGCTGTCACAGCTGTGCTTCTGCGTCAGCCCTGGCAGAGCATTTCTGCAGCAGGGCCCCCGAGGGGCACTGCGGGATCCTGTGCCCTTCTATGCTCCTCCGAATCTGACAATATATTCCCAGCACCTCGCTTTCGCTGTCTTACACATGCTGGGTTCAAGACTTTTACAGGTGCAAGGCTTTTACAGGAATAATGCTGCGCTCTAGCCAAAACAGAATACACATATACGTTGCAGTGTTACTGTCCAGTAAGTGTGTAACCTCGTGCTTATGCTCAATAGCTTTGTTTACCTCACTGTAGGGATTTATAGAGGTGAAAAAGTGTGGGTAAGTGCCAAAGATGACACTCATGTTGGTAGTGGGGGAGGGGTGGGATTGTCATTCAAATGTGTAAGTGGATTGGCACCTGGATTCTGCCAATACACCCCAAGGCCTCTGATTGAAGCTGGACCGCTAGACAGTGAAGAGTCATTGGTTTGGAAAGTAATTGAAGAGGAATGTCTGCTGTGTGGTCCCAAGTCTGGTGCCTCCCGAGTCTGGAGGGGCACCAGAGTCCTGACGGGGGGAGGGAGAGGACCCCAGTGGCCAAGAGCCTCCCCCTGGGCTCTGGACCCTGCCCACAGAGCTGTTCCCACATTTCATCCAATCCTTATTTAATTGCAA